TTAAAAACACTCCTGTTGTTGTCTCATTTTTCCAGTTTTTTGCAAATACAATTCTAGCTGCTGTCAAAACATTTACAATCAAATATTTCAGATCTCTGTTGTTTATTTTTGGTATAATTCCCAATAAAAATATCTCTGGTTTAAAGTCTATGTGTTTTTGTATCATTTTCTCCAACCACGTGTGGATTTTAGTCCAATATCTTTTAGCTTCTGTGCAAGTCCACCACATATGGTAATATGAATCTGGTGTCTGATGACATTTCCAAACTTTTCCAATTTGTTCTTGAACATTCTTGCTATTCTCATTGGGGGTAGCTGCCACCTGTAAAACATCTTATACAAATTCTCCTTATATGCTGTTGACATTGTCATTTTATAATTTTGAGACCACAATTTCTGCCACTTCTCTAGTTCAATCCCATGTCCAAATTTTCCCCCCAAGCTATCATAGGTTCTTCCTCTAGCTTAACCTCTAGTAAGTGTCCATATAATTTTTAATTACTTTTTCATCAGCACCTGTCAGAATTTTATTTCGCTCAGTCATTTTATCATAGAAACCTTCCATTTTACGATCTTTGCCATATCTAAATTGTATTTGCACATATGAAAACCATTTCATCCTTATTCCTTCCTGTTCCAATTCTTGCATAGATTTAAGTTCACCCTCTGCATTCAATATTTCATCATATCTAACTGTTTGTTCCTTTTTCTATATTATTAGATATGAAAAAGCTTCAATAGTTGATAGCCAGACTGAAATTTTTAAGTAATGTTGCCTTTTGATCTTCTCCTAATTTAATAGCAAAGCCTCCCTCTTTTCTAAAATACCCCTGCATTTTAGTTCCCTTGTATCATAAAAAAGCATGCCATCCCAACAATAAATCATGTTCTTCTACAGTCAGTAATGTGGAATTCCTTAATGTTATCCACTCCTTAACCCACATCAAGCTTGTTGCCTGATGATATAATTCCCAGTTAGGCAAGCCCAGTCCTCCTCTTATTCTAGCATCTTGCAACAATTTTCATTTTATTCTTGTTTTTCCACCCTGCCAAATGTACTTCAGCACTACTTTATTTAAATCGTCAAAGTAATCTTTCCCTAATCTAATTGGAATTGTCTGGAACAAATATAAGATTCTGGGTAAAATATTCATTTTGATTGTAGATATTCTCCATATCGTTGATAGTTGTAGATTTTCCCATTTCATCAGATCAGTCGCAATCTATTGCTTAAGTTTATGATAGTTGTCCTTGAGTGTACTGAATCTTGGGGTTAAATATATCCCCAAATATTTAACCTTATTTGTAATTTGAATCTCCAAAGCTTCTGCCAATTCTTGATTTGTCTTGATGCTATATTATTTATCAGAATCTTCATTTTATCTTTGTTTATTTTCAGACCTGCTACTTTTCCATATTAGTCTATTTTTTTCTATCAATTTAGGGGCAGTTTCTAATGGATCCTCTAAGAGGAAAACTAAATCATCTGCAAATGCTTGTAGTTTGTATTCTTCCTTTTGGAGCATCTTCATGGCTGCCACAGCAAGGCTGGTTGGAGCTGTGGGAATAGGAGGAGGGAGTAGAGGCAACTGGGGACTTGTAGCCAAAATAAAATTATTTCTCCTGGGAACCAAAGTCGTTCTCACCAGGTGCTGCGGAGACGTGGACTGAAACCAAGTGGAGTAGGGACTGTGGTCTGGTTGGACCCTGTGATGGACATGTGGACTGGGGGAAAGAACTTTGATTTTTAATTTGGGTGGGGAAAACCTTGGGACCTTCAGAGTCGGGTTTTTACCACATGTGCCAATATGATATGCCTAATAACTCCAAGCATTTTGGCCTCGGAGTTTGCATTGGGTCTGTTACTTGAAACCCTGACATAGTTCAGTTATGTGAGAATAATGAATAATGAAATGAAAATAAATGAAGATGGCAAATTGCAGAATATTCATTTTATTGAACATTTTCAAGTGATATTTGAAGAGTTTTAAAGAGTTTTAAAATCATCATTTGTATGCGAAGAAACTTGTTTTTCCCAACTTGTGGGGTACAAATACCAAATCGAATGTAAGAGATTGATTATTCGGTATAAGAAGTTGTATCATTTTCATCACAGGAGGAGGAAGAGAAATGCGGAAGAGAAATGCAGAATCATCCATCTCAGAGCCGGCAGCCACGAGTCCATTCTGACAGATCTCTTCCTTTGCAGTGGTTCCTCCAGGCAACCCTAGCAGTAAGAATAAGAATATTGCATGTCTTTCCAAACCACATGCACAGTTGTTCAATTGCTTATGTAGATCTACTTCAAGAATAACAGAATATGGGAACAAAACAATTGGAAGAAACTTTGGAAGTCTTCTAATTCATTCATCCTTCCTGTTTATTGATCAATAAAATTTCTTTGCTGGTTCGTCAATGAATTCCTTTCCACCAGGCTAAAATTCAACAGTTTTTTTGTTTTAGGTAAAATAGTCCTAACTTTCTATTTGTCACAATAAAGCCTATATGCCAGTAATGCCCAAGAGATTCTTTGGTCCCCACATATCCTAGGTAGGGTCTACACTACCTAGAGCTAAAAGGAATTCAAGTCCAAAGTCTTTAGTGAACACCAGAGGGCTCACAAAATCCTCCCCCATATCATAGAATCCCTCACTGGGGCACACAACAAATTAACTTTTAAAGTATTCTAATTTTTGACCACATAATACTATTGTTTGGTTCTAGATGTGCAGTTTATCAGTTTTCCATCTAACCATTTGCTGCTGCAGCCCTTTTTCCTATTCAACCTATGATTGGAGGTTTGACAAATGATCTCTCTCTATTTCTCTCACTGCTTTCTTTATCTACCAGTTCTCTGATCCTGTGGAGCTCCTCCATGGATCCAGAGTCCTGATGTTTAAAAGGCCATCTGCCAAATTATTCTGCTACCTGCCCCAACTCAGTACCAACCAAACCCCAATGCTGAACCTGTAATAAAAGATTTCAAAACAAGAGAGAAGCACAAAAGTGGATAATGGATGGGAAATTACTGGGAAGAAATTATCCAGTTATAATACAAACCCCTCTAATAACCTAAGTGCCAGTCTACTTTTAAACCAGGATGTGGTGGCTCCATGGCTAAGATGCTGAGCTTGTTGATCAGAAATGTCGGCAGTTCGGTGGTTCGAATCCCTAGAGCCACATTACTGAGTGAGCTCCCATTACTTGTTCCAGCTTCTGCCAACCTAGCAGTTCAAAAGCATGCAAAAAATGCAAGTAGAAAAATAGGGACCATTTTGGGTGGGCAGGTAACAGTGTTCCGGGCACCTTTGACATTTAGTCATGTGGCCAAATGACATGGAGATGTCTTTGGTCAGCGCTGGGTCTTCAGCTTTGAAACGGAGATGAGGACCACCCCCTAGAGTCAGGAACAACTAGCACGTATGTGCGAGTGGAATCTTTACCTTTATCTTATTTTTAAACCTGAGTTTAAAAGACAATAAAACTCGTATTTTATATTTTATAAGACATATTCAGCAATTGTATTTTACTATCAAGGTTAAAAGTTGTACTCTAATTTAAAGAAAGATAATTAACTTTCATGACAGTTCAATTGCTGCCCAACATTACAAGAGGAAGATATTAATTAAATATTGACTTACCAGGCATTCATCCTTTGGGGATCACGGACAATCCTCTTAGCACAAACAATATCATCTGTGATGTCATCATTTGTGAAAGCTGCCAGGAAAGACAAATTGGAATATGTTCCAACACAGATGTTTCCAACAAGATTTCCAAAGACTTGCATAACATTACTATTTAAAGCAGATTCTTACCCATGTGGCATTTAAGTTGTAGGACCTCAGTAGTTAATATGTAATGCATCCACTTCTTTACCAGTGTAACCAACTGCTTATACAGCTGGTGTAGAGTATGAAATGTCATCTCTGATCCTCTAACTGCGTAGAGTAACAAGTCTTAAAAGTGTAGAGCTCTGGGAATCTGTTTCCCCTCTGGAGCTGAATTTCCAAGGTCCCTTTCAACTCTAATACTGTTATTCTGTTTATCTGCACTCTTGGAAAGGAGTGAGAGAAAAATTGTCTCACCAGAGTCCAAGAACCAGATTTCTTTGACAAAGGGTAGAGATCATTGAATCAGGTTCCTTGCTAGTTGCAGTTCTAGTGCTGAAATTGCTGCCTTTAACTTGTGCCTCTGACATTTGACTAATGTTGTGGTGGGTGGTATGGAGGCACAAAGTGAGATATATCTGTTTTCCCTCTGGAGCGGAATATCCAAGATCCCTTCCAACTCTAATACTGTTATTCTGTTTTCTGTACTCTTAGCCACCTCTTGTGAGGTGAGTGAGATCAGGTGGTATCTTTAAGGGGTGCCAATGGATCTAAGGATTGCTTCTCCTGCGGGCGCTCTCTCTGGAGAGCTGGAGAGCTTAAATGACCTCTCTGCTAAAGGGTCACTTTCTGTACAAGAGTTGGCTGCTGATAGTTATCATTGCATTTTAACTATTTTAATTCCTCAAGGAATTAAACCTTACCTGATTTGCAACCTTACCTGATTTGTAACTCTCGCTTACAGGTATTTCTAATTTAATGATTGGTATTTAGGAAAGCGTTTTGCAAGCAAAGAAGCTTCTTGTATTTTTGTACAGGTAATCCTTGACTTACAACAGTCCATTTAGTGACCATTCAAAGTTACAATGGCACTGAAAAAAGTGATGTATGACTGTTTTTCACACTTGCAACCGTTGTAACATCTCCACGGTCATGAGAGGCCAGGCAAGGAGAAGCACCCCTTCAATGTGAGTGACGTCAAGTTGGCCATGCCCATCCAGTCACATGTCCATCCAGCCACACCTACCCAGCTGGCCATTAGGGCAGAGAACTGGTTGTTAAATTATTTGAATCCCCCCACTGCCAGTGGGACTGAGTTGTCCTTTTCTCATCCACTTTATCTTAATTGTTCTCCTAACCTCTCTTGTATTCCTTCATCAAGATAATTTCTTCTCTACACTGGGCGTCTTACCACTGCAAGGCTTATTACAGCCGTTAGATGTACGCCCCTGGTTATTGTTGCACCACCAACGGCTGTTTATCTGGAAAATCCCATAGTCACGACTGCCATCCGTGTTTGGTCGCCCCACAGCTCGGCTGTTGTATCTGCTCTCATGATAAGCCATACAGATCCCTGGAAGAAAGCAAAGGGGAAAGGAGTACAAAAGGCTTGTATCATAGATGGAAAGCTATCCTGGTTTTTTACACAGAATATTTAACCATCTTCAATCATTCTTCCCCCAACCAAGGAAGGACCCAATGACCCATCCCTCTTGAAAACGTAGACCAGGCTAACACAGAGAGATAGAAAGAGTCAACTCACAGTCACCCAATTTGTAGCCATAATATCCATCCATGCCATTTCTTTTCAGAGCTGAAGCCAGTTCACATTTGCTAAATACTTTGGCTTCATTGGCTGCAACGAGGAGGAAGAGAAGTGCGAGTGCTAGGGCCTTCATTGCCGCAGCTTCTCAGAGGAGGAGGTCTGACTTCTCCAGTGTGGCCCCTGGATTTTATAGTCATGGCTTGTGAATGTGGAAACTCAGGAGAGATTGATAACAAAGTATGTGGCAATAGAAATTCCCAACTTGAAGCAATAATGGAAGATTGTGTTGAGGACAAAGTAGAAGAACACTTCACTTTTAATTTCGTAAGAAGCCAAACCATTTTTTTAAAGATGAGTGAGAAAAGTATTTTTAGCTCCCTGAGAGATCCTGGCCCAAAGGGAATGAGGTGCCAACAATGAACAAGTGATGGTTACAACTGCATGATTGAAGTCCCATCATTTTTTGTGTTTTGCATGCAATGTATGTGAAAAAGGAAGAGGGATTTTATTGTGCGGTGACTGCTGCCTTCTTGATTTTTTGGGACCCCTGTCCCAAAAACATTCTTCCCTCTCATTTGGTTGAGTTTTCTGTTCAGTTGTTCCAATACAACTCTAGTTTCAGTGTGTATTTTTTGGTCTCATGAAGTTTGCAGAGAAATGCAACGTACTGAAATTACTCAGAGAACTGTATTTTATTTCCTTGGTTTTATTGCCTAATTGTCCTCCTTGAGGGCACATAAAGAGGGAGAGGGAGAAAGGTGGGGATGAGGCTCTAGTTCTGTATTTTCTCCTCATATAGGAGAAGCTGACATGGATGCACAATGAATTCATACCGTCCAGCAACTTGTAACTCTTAACATGATGCTTTATTAAAAACTTTCTGAAACTTGATCTTGAATTCTGTAAATGTAATTTAATTTAATCAAGTTTGGTTTGTGGCCATGGTGAGAGCTATGGACGTGAATCAGTAGAGCAAAAATTACCATGTTAGATTAGTCATCGATTCCTCTGAATAACATTGATTGATCATGCGCCATGAAGTCTCTGTCAGCTCTTAGTGACCACATAGATATTTTTTCTCCATTATGATCTGAAACTGCTGAATGCTGCAACTAGGTTTTGTAAATTATTCACAATAATGGGTTGTTAGGAATATAATCTAACGGTTGGGTTGGCAATATATAAATCATGTAACAATGCCGTACCTGTTTCTTTAAATCATACTGTAAAATGTGATTGGTTGCTGTTTTCCTCAATCGGCCATAAGAGGGAGCCAGAATGATTGTTAGCTCTCTGTTTGTTAGATGCTGGGCTGATCTGATCTGAGTGTATTGGAAGCTGGCTGTTAGAAAGTGCCGTGAGCTATTGTAAGTTTTGCAACTGCTAGCAAACTTTGAGTACCGGACTGTTTGTATGTTTATGGACTATGTTATTTGGATTATCCCTTAACTGAAAGACATTGATGACTGACTGTCTTATCCATGTATGACTTGGACTGTTTGATGGACTCTGATATCTCTATTTCCACGAAAGTAAAAGCCTATTTAAACTGCAGTGTCTCTTTATGCTGGTTTGTGTGTTCTCCAACACAACTCTCACAATGCTTCTCTGAATGCCCTCACTCTCCCAACAGGAAGCTTACATAACATGGGTCACTGCAGTGAACTCTACAAAGACTGTCCTAGAAGACTATCCAGAAGCCAGATCTGGTCCAAAAGTGGGCAGCAGAGGCAGGGATGGGGTTAGTTAATTGCCACTTGGTTTCTGGGGGAATTCAAGGCACTGGTTTTCATCTGCAAAAACCCTATAGCAATAGCAATGGCACTTAGACTTATATACCACTTCATAGAGCTTCATACAGTCCTCTCTAAGTGGTTTACAGAGTCAGCCTTTTCCCCCAACAATCTGAATCCCCATTTTACCCACCTCGGAAGGATGGAAGGCTGAGTCAACCTTGAGCCTGCTAAGATTTGAACTGCTGAACTGCAGCTAGCAGTCAGGTGAAGTAGCCTGCAGTGCTGCACACTAACCACTGTGCCACCTCGGTTCTCTGTGGTCACAAGATGCCTCATCTCCAATTTTATCTATCTAGCTAATATTATCTATCAGGATTGGCATATTTCAGATCTGATCTATAAAACAGTAATGTGTCTTGGACTGTGGTGAAATCTAATTTTTTTTGCCCTTGTTTCCCGGTCATGGCTGTGTGGGTTGGGTCATGTGACTGGGTGGGCCTGACCAACTTTTTTTCACTTTTTAAAGCATTTTTTCCTGCCGGTTCGGGCAAATAGGCAGGAAAAAATGCTTTAAAAAGCGGGGGGAAAGCTTCTGATGATCTCAATCCTCAGAAGCTCTTTTTTACTACTGGTTCGCAGAGCCAGAAATGATTGTCCCTACTGGTTTGGCCAAACCGGGCTGAACCGGGCCGAACCAGGAGGATTTCACCCCTGGTCTTGGATCCCAGAAAGCAGAAAACTGTCCGTATTCTCTGAGATCTACACAGCCCCCACCCTGCTCTCTTTCTACTTCCTCATTACTGGGCCTCAGAGACATCACTCTGTTTCTGAATTGGAATCATTGTTATGAATGTTGGTATATTATATCAACTTTTACATGGTTCTAAATTATTGCCATTTGTTTTAACCATTGTAACGTGTTCAGATAAGTAGCTTCCAAAATCCCCAGCAAGAGCTACCAGTGGTCCTGAGTTATGGTGACACAGATTTGGAGGTCTCTGGGAACAAAATGAGGCTACATTTGACTATGGGAAATTAAGACTGAAGACATATCTAGTTCTGCTGAAATTAATAGCTGAATCCTACTTACGTTGGGTCCAGTGGTGGGTTTCAATTTTTTTTAGAACCTCTTCTGTAGGTGTGGCCTGCTTCATGGGAGTGGCTTGCTGGCCATGTGACCAAGTGGGAGTGGCTTGCCGGCCATGTGACCAAGTGGGAGTGGCTTGGCAGTCATGTGACTGGGTGGGCATAGCCAACTTGTAAAATGTGGTGAAACTCAAATAACAACGCTCTTGCTTAGCAACCAAAATGTTGGCTCAGAAACGCTAGCACTTGAAGCACGCAACTCTTAAAGCTGTCAAATTACAAGACCCTTGCAGCCCTAACCCTTTAGAAAAAAAACTCCCAGGGGTGTTCAAACTTGACAGCTTTAAGACTTGTGGACTTCAACTCCCAGAATTCCTCCTCTCACTCTTCATCTTGATGATGTGCGGACGGGCAGGGGGAGGGAGCTGGAACCGGTTCTAAACGGCACTGTAGATTTGTGGAACCTCTTCTATAGAAGAAGTTAGAACTGGCAGGAAGCCACCCCTGGTTGGGTCCTTGAAACATAGATTAGCTTGGCCTTCAGTTCTCACTAGACTGCAGTGCAGCAAATCCCATTGAACAAAATCTCAAAAAGGAACCTACATTCTTTCTAGTTGAAATTATTACAGACTGGAAGATTTTATAGGCTGAATCTCATTTAGTATTATCTACTTTAGCCAGGATAGTTACCCACTAACTTTTGCTGCTTCTCTGCTACCTACTGATTTATACATATGTTCACTTGAACACAATATATTGCAATCTTCTCAGTTTTCTACATATACAGGTATCACAGATGGACAATGACTTGTCTACATCCTGGAATTGAGGATGCACAGAGTAGCCTAGATTTCACAGAAAAGCATATCTAGACTTTGTGAGAAGATGAGATGCACACCTTGGAACAGCAGAATTCACAGCAATTTGGCCTGTATCATTAATCTGCTGCTGTTATCCTCTTGTTTGCACGCTCTCTTATTTGGCAGATGAATGGATAGGAAAGAAGATGGCCACCAATTTTTAAATTCAGAATTTAAATTATGGAGCAAACACCAAGCCTTAAGAAAACAGGAGGTTGACCACAGAATCTGTATGGCCTTGGATGCCAAACTAGGGTTTTCATATAAGAATTTCAAGGTAGTTTATTAATATTATACAAAGAGATGTATCTGGTTCTTTGTTAAGTGACACCAAGCTTTGAATCAATTATGCATTTTGTTGCACAAGTCTGTTCTTCCATGGAAAGGATTGGCAACCAGGTTGGAGGAATAATGTAGGAATAATGAAAAATGAAAAAGAAAGAAATAAAGCATGAAATAGGGCAGGGCATAATGCACAAAACTCTTTCTATTAAAGCAGTTTTCAAAGATTTTTTTTTAAAAAAACAAAGACTTTCCCTTTTTTCCACCATGCACCATTTAAAAATCATCATTTTTGTGCAAAGAAACTCATTGTTCCTCATATGTGGAGTGTAAGAATAGAATCAAACTGGCCAATGTGGTTAAATAAGGAATCATATCATTTTCATCACAGGAGGAGGAAGAGAAATGCAGGATCATCAATCTCAGAGCCGGCAGCCACGAGTCCATTCTGACAGATCTCTTCCTTTGCAGTTGTTTCTCCAGGCAACCCTAAAAATAAGAATACAGATTAAAAATAAGCATAATGCATGCCTTTGTTGATCACACATATGTTTGTTTCTTTGACAATTTCAGAGAATATAAGTTTTCTTGGAGAGATTGAGGAAGGTGAGCTAGTGGCAAATCTCGTTCATTCATTTTTCCTTTTCTTTGATTTTCTTTCTCAATTGTTAATCTTCTCTCCAGGATAAAATGAAAGGAACTACAATTGTTTTCGTTATATTTCTCACAATAAAGTTTGCATGCCACTGTTGCTCAATTATCCCGCATAATCTTGCCAGAGTCCATGCCAGCCATTGCCCAAGACAGTTAAGATCCGAAGTATTGGGTAAGCACTAAAAAGCTTACTCAATTGATATTAATCACCCTCTGAAAACTAAGGGTGTTAGTGCAGGGTGAAGTGTGAGGTCTCCCCAGACATTTTAGATGGGACAAAAGCATATTTTACCATTTTAACAAAAATAAACAGAGCGTTTTAGTCATTGGGTGGGCTGGATGAACTCTTTCTGGGAAGGAAGTTAGCAATAGCAATAGCAGTTAGACTTATATACCGCTTCATAGGGCTTTCAGCCCTCTCTAAGCGGTTTACAGAGTCAGCATATCGCCCCCACAGTCTGGGTCCTCATTTCACCCACCTCGGAAGGATGGAAGGCTGAGTCAACCTTGAGCAG